AAGAGTTCTACTAATACTTCAAGTACAACAAAAAGTACTTATACTACTAATCAATATTAGTAATACTTATACTGTAATCTGTATAAAACTGTATAAGCGACATTATACTGACGCCTGATCTATATAAAATATGAAAGGAAGACTATGAGCATCTCCCATTAGATCAACGCAAACGCTAGCGCGATGGGCTTGTTATAGAAACATCATGTTAAATTCCACCATTGGAAGCATGAAGTTCAAATACGAAATACACTCTAATGGGAGTTTAGATAGCAACAACGGTACCCGCTTATACAGCACGGTCCTCTAAGAACGGTGTCAACGATGACTGGAAAAATTCAACGAAAGCGAGCAAACCTGAAAAGCAACAGATTAGTGACAATAAAGTGACGATATGGTCACCACCTTGATCGCGATGGAGAAAACGCCGGAATTTCTGCAAGACGAACAGGAACTATGAAGATGACCCATTCCTGAATGAATAGAAGTATGTAGAACTGACCGGTCATAGTGTTGTTTCAACCGGTACTCAATCTTCAAGTTCGTCCTCAACCTCTCTACCAGCCCTGTCTCCATCCTCACTGTCTCTCTGGCGAGCTCTTTCGACTCTTGGAGCACCTCCCGTAGCGAAAACCTGTGATAAATGTCAAGCCGATGAAGGTTTTGAAGTTTCCTACCGAGCCAGCGAACGGCACATGATTCGCACCATCACCGTGACCTTAAACAGTGAATATAGACACGCAAAGAAACTCTCAAAGGAGGTCTTACCCGTTGCGCGTTGCTGTGTATTTCGAGCTCCTATCTGAATGACCTGAACAGCAGCAATTCAAGTCGGTTAATTTTACAACCACAGGTCATCAGTTCAACAATCATTAGTCACACCACAAGTCAACATCCCAAAACGACTCCTCCAACGAGACTAAGTTGAAAGAAATCGAGCATCCTTTCAAGTCAAAAGTAAACCGTTAAGCATACCTGTTGCTGTGTGGTATTCTGTCCCAACGGTGGTCCATTCCGCCCCGGAGATTGTGCATTCTGCCCTGCATGATTCGGAGCTGCCTGTGCTAGGCGATTATTCATCTGCACGAAAGGGGAATATCTGAATGTTCTTAAGCAACCTGAAGCTCTTGACTCACAATGCGCTCATCTCGAACGTATGGGCCAGGTAACTCGCGTCTCCCGAGAACAACTCGTCCGCCTTGGGCAATAGTGTATCTGAAAAGATGGAGAGGCGATCGATACTGATTTGCTATTCTAAGCAACGTCCTACAATTTACCTGTTGTTGTTAATCCAAGCCTCATTCTCTGGTGAAAGAGAAGCGGGTTGGAGGCGTACGACATGAAATTTAGGCCGAGATATGACTGCCACCTCCCCATTGGCAGCGGTGGTAGCCCCGGCCTTGTACCAACCGATAGCCATCCACCCGCCAGCAGTAGCGTTCACATAGTCGCAAATGCGGTCAGCCACATCCCATATTTGAACAGGACGCGCCAGCTCAGGTTTGGACTGAATTAACTTAGTTGGCTATGCCGAACGAAATTTGAGCGTCAACTCACGTCAAGTGCAACAGGATCTACGAAAACCTTGGAGAAGTTCATTCCAGTAACTTCGACCTCTTCATCGGCTCCCAGCTGCTCGATGCATACCTTCGCTTTAACCACCCAAGCATTCTTGGAGAGAACGACTTTGCAACCACACATCTTCGATGACTGGGCATCGCACAGCAAACCGGGACAGGCATCTTTGACTATGCCGAAGTCGATGATTTCGACAGTGCATTTTGGCAAGTGGAACGTTTGGAAACATGTCGCGGTGAGATTCGACTGGGGTAGGATTTCAGGGGACTCCACCACCTTGATTGGTATCAATGGGCTGCGCGTTTCAAGAACTCGAGTACCGTTTTCCATCTGGCCGTGGCCACTGCACTGCAGTAAGCAGAAAGAATCGCCTACTGAAATGCAATCGGCATAGTGGAGAAGGTTATTAGTAGACGTTGTGTCACGAGTCAATATTATGAAAGGGGTGCCGGTGCTCACTTCGGAAAAGAGGCACCACCGATCATACGAGATATCAATGGGAAGCCTTGGGGAGCCTCTTTTCTCACCAGGCTTGGTATATCTGAACCTCCCAGTCGAATCAGGCCTCTTACAATAGAGGAGGCGTGCCACCAGTTTCGTGCGACGATTCTGTCGCATCTCTTTCGCCGAACCACAACCCATATCGGGGATAGACCTCAAGGTTATGGTACGGAAACCTTCGGCAAGAGCCACGTCTTCAGCCAAGTTGAGGCAGCAGATGCTCATGGGGGAGAAAAAAACACCACAAACGGATTGGCCCCATTGAATACCACAGCAACTCTTCCAAGAAAGAAACACATTGATGGAGGAATACTATGATTCACATGCTCACCAGATGGTGAGCCTATGCCATAAAATGTGCAAGGCGGTCCACACTGTGGAGACGACTCCCGAGCCGAACCCTGGAGGTAGTCAGGCGACGGAGACCGTTAAGTTTAGTCAAAGAACTGCCGACTCGGCACTGCCGAGCCGATCTGATCGACTTGGTACTGTTGATTCAACTAGTTTCGGACGAAGCTAAGATTCCATAGTTGTGCACTCTACACAACTACACTCTTCGACCCGAAGGGTCTTCGGGACCGAGGTGGAGTTATCAATAGTAAGGCAAAACCGGAGGAATATAGATGCTGACCCATCACGAAATACAACGCGACAGATCGAGTGACAATCAGAAGCAGGACAACCACAGGAACACAATGTATCAACACAATAATCATAATCGTAGATATCAGCACCTAGGAAGGTGTCGACACTAGATGGTACGTTAGAGCAACAGCAAATCTCGATGAGTCCCCTGGGAGGGAATGAAGTCCTCCACAAGCTACTGGGGAGATGACGAGGTGGAGGTGGAGGAGAGGGTCTCATGTACAAAGTTGCGGTATGATATGATATTCTCCATCACCTTGTTGAAGCGGTCTCGTTGGCCACATTCATCATCACCATTACGGGTGAGCTTCGAGGGATTGGTGTGGTTCGGCATCATCGTCACCATCCAACTACAAAGATGTTGTACGGCTATGATACGACGACCAAGCCCCAGTGACAGCATACCTCTGATTGAGGTCATGGTATTGCTGTTGGTATCTCTGGGTGTAATCGGCGTATGTGATGTGGCGAGATATACGATCCTGATGCAGGAGTAGCACGAATGAAGAGAATAGTAGTAACCTTTAACCTACCGCATCGAATGCTATGATCAATGCTGCTGGATGTTTCAACAGTACTGATATGCTATCTTGTAACCATCGGTGATCTATAGATTACCATTACCGAGAGCTAGATCACCATGCTAGGTACATTCGTAATCATCAGTATGATCATAGTCGTCAGCCCGCCTCCGGACATACCTCAACAGCTGTAGTACCGTCCTTCTCGACGGCTGTTGTGTACTGAGCTCATCACAACAACTGTCCAAGGGGACCTATTCGCAATGGCGTTGATGATGCAAATACCCCTCCCAGACCATCACCCTGCACATGTCACAGAAGACTTTTGCATCTGCAGCACAGTCTCCTTCCCCTCTGCCTGCCTGTGACCCAATACCAGCATATCGCAGCTAACATATCAAGTACTAATGACGACGGCGGCCTTGTCCACTCCATGTACCCTACACTTGTAATCATCCTGTCCCTACTGTATGCCATGGGGGAAGGTAATATAGCTGCTTCCAGTCGATGGACATCTTTGGCATCAACAGAATCGTTGCTTGGTGAACGGCGTATAAGGTCCAAAATGGATTCTGGATCCCTGAAGTGTGTTCTTGTTTTAGATGCTGAGTTCCAAATTCATACCTCAACAGCGGATGGCAAGCTGATGTAGCCAAGTCCTCTCTGAGATGTGCCTTTGAACGTACCAACCTTGAGAGGTAATCCTGATTAGAGATCGCTCATACTCCAAACGAGACCATGCACCAGTTACCATGAATAGGGGATTGAGAGCTTCCAGATGCCGCCAGGAGGGTGAGTGATCCGTGCCTCCATTGCCTGTACTATACAGGGAAGTCTTCCATTGTTTAGGTAGCATCCCACTCACTGCGAATAGCACAACAGCACCAAGACCCCAAACATCAACCTAGCAGGATACGACGTTGAGTTCACTACCATCCTCCGAACCACCCTTCCCCTCTCACTAAGGGCCACTCAATGGCGTCTAATAGTCCTTGGATCTCGCTTGTTTGGACATTCTCACGACTCAAAGATAACTGCTGCAGCATTTCCATGACCTGGTGGGTTATTAGAGTAATGAACAGTTGATTATAGGATGGAACATACCTCAGCTGGGTACCACCCTTCCTTAGCATGCTGCTCTGACATCAACTCTATACTATCCGACTGTATGCTCCTCAATAATGAAGGGGCTGGTGTAGCGGATACGCCAACCTGCTCGCTTCTCGCTGCGAGAGCCGTTCTCACCTTGTGCATAATATCAAACAATTTCACTTTACTCATCTAAGAATAAGAGAACATCGGACATCAGAGAGATACATGGGAACAGTTACATGATCAGCCAGTCTGAAGGTTACTCTAGAGACATCATTGCGGCCACCTGGTAGGTCTACTAGTACATTATTGGCAGATAGTCGTGTATGGTACATGTTGAAAAACTAAGAGGCAGACAGCATTGGTATAGAACATGTTGATAGTAGGATAGTACATGCATCCTCTGTAGTCCAGCAGTCACGTCACGAGCTAGTATCTGGACCGTATCCCCAGAAAGGGCTGTACTAGAAGGATCTAGACGGGGGTGAATGATGAAGAAGAATCCGGTGAACAGCTATTGTTGTTGGTTTTACCAGTAGAGTCGATAGAGGCTCCAAGTCCCGCTAACATCTCATTAAGAGACATGTCACACTCCTTCATAGTGAGGATCAAAGCACCGTTACGGAAAGCACCATCGGTTGCCGTTGACTATAGTAATGTGGAGTAAGTTGGTGGTGGTGGTGACGGCGACAAGCATGGTGCTGATTTACCTCGTATATGTGGGATAGATGTAGGATGTTGGGATGAGGTGATCTGGCTAGTAATGCTAATTCCCGTCCTATCTGCCGTAGACTCAACGACGACCTTCCATGACCATATACCTGCCTCGACTGAATTGTATAGCGATTGAGCGTACTATACTACTACGGGGGCCTCGAAAGGGCTGGTAGTAGGACGAGAGGTGGAAGGGGGTATGACCTGATACACGATGAGACGGTAGAGTGGCAGGATCCTAGAGAGTACTTGATCTGGAAATGCTGTTGCCAAGTGGCACATGAACGCGTGAGCATCCCGTTCCTCGTCGGATCTACGGAATGGCAGTATCTTCGCTAAGCACTGATGATACTCATGCTGGGTCTGCTGCTGGGTCTGCTATACTATCACTGATAATGAGAGATAATAGTGTCCTACACATGGTTCATTGCCAGTAGCAGCGGTATTGGTGGAGCCTCCACGCCCCGCTCTAAAACTTAGGTCTTCCTCTGCTCGATGTACAAGGTTGACGACGGAAGACGAGGACACTCTTAAGAGACCATCCGCCTAAAAGAGCTCGCATGGTGTATACATGATAGAAGTAGTAGAAGTGATACAAGAACATCCCAATCCTGTACACTAGATGATTTGCTGCTGTTGATGATCGTCATCTCATTGATAGTAGTGGCAATCGAGGGTGTTAGTAAGTGTTGTGCCTGCAACACTTGATAATCTTGACGAGATGAGGGAAGCGTCTAGTGGCTCATGCAACCCAACTGACCACCATCTTCTTTTCTTACATGATCCAGGTTCGAGATAGTTGGACCGTCACTATTCTCCCCGTCATCCGAGGAGGACTGCTCATCATCATTATCATCCACAGCAAAGGAAGCTTCTCCAGTGAGCATGCTATTCTGTCTCCATACCATCTGCTGTCTATGATGGGCACCATATTCTAGGAAAGGGCGGAGCCATTCCCGTAGTTGATCAGTGCCTAAGGTCTTTGGATGCATGTAACATATATAGAAGGCTGGTGTTACTGAGTGGGGATGCTCTTAATTCCTCTGGGCAGTGGGCAAAGGGACAATAGTATCTATGAGGATAGTTGGTAGGTAAGATGGTAGGGTATGATCACCACCTTGTACAACATACATCCTCACACAACATCGTTTTATACACCCAAGGGTGGAAAAGGACTTCCTCCTCAGAATGGGCCATACGACAGCTACGGCCTTGTGGACTGATCGGGTACATATTGTTGTTGTTACCATGATAGGTACTAAGGTCCTCACCATCGACAGCGCATCCTCATAGGTGGCTGTAGGGGAGATTTATTATTACTCTCTGGCCTATCGGTTGGGTCAGTATCCATCATTATATATGATATAGCATCAGCATAGTGCTCACATAGTCGTGGCTCGTAACTATACATACTCATGTTGGCCGCCTTAGCCTATTTCCTAAAGCCTACCGATATTTCAGTGGAGACCTCCTCCTCCATTCAACATTATGACTGTATTGACATCTACCTGATGTAAGCATCATCACTGTACCTCATCTATAACTATTATTCTTATTACTAGAGAATAGACATTCCCCAGTAGTAGCAAATCTTTCACATGTACTAGTACGGAACTTAGCTATATCCTCATTGGATAGAATTGCTGGCAGAGCCATTGTGTAATAAAGAGATATAACAGGTTGTAGTAGATGCCTTGGAGAGAAGACAACTAACCGGAGTACTACAAGGTAAATCATCCAATACCAGTTAGAGACTCCCTTGGTTAACTCCTGTATGACATCTCCTTCCCTGCATGTACTAGTAACTCAGAACGGTTTGGGGTGAGGAGTATGTATAGTATGTACACCATGGGAAGGCGAACATCGTGGTGAAGGCTCCACTCCCGGATGCCTCAGCTAACGTTTCCCTGTTGGATGGTGATATGGTGTAAGCGTTTGCCGAAGAGCATACAGTAGAGAGAGATTGTTGAGCTGTGATGGTGTATGATACACCGTGTATCGGATTGACAACACCTTCTTAAAGTGCATTCTGTATTCTGCAGGTTGTCATACTGAGGGCATACCTGCAGTTGCTTGCACACAGTGAGTAGTCATAGTGATTGGATGTATGAGGAATAGAAAAAGAAGAGGTCGTCGTCGTCGTCGTCTGCTTTAGAGTATCTGTAGAATTGAATACCTACTCCACATCCAAAAATCTCCCCTCCTCACTAATTTTCAACTGAGCTGTGTTATAGATGTGCACTTTCGAGTGCACCATATATCACGATGTCCTATCGCCCTGTTAGCCTGACATACATGTATATGTCTATTACCAATTTATTATCCTTCCTGCTTACTTTACAGCTGCTACCCTTGAGGTTACCCCCGTTGCTGATGATGATGATCGCCCTTCGAGGATCATCTCTACTACTCGATACGTTCGTGGTGAGGATCATCTCGCCATGTGTGATGGACATGATGAGCTCGTCTCCCGTATAGATTGTGCACGAAAAGAAGTGATAACGATAAACGTGAACTCGAACTCAATACACGCATTACGGGTCAAATGAAACGTACGAAATACCGCAAATGAGGATAACAGTGGGAACGCAAGAGCGGTGAATAGGGAACTCCCTCCTTAGTGTCGTTGCCGTCGCCGTTTAGGTGATCTATCATCAGTCCTTCTCTTCTGGCCTCCATGTGTTGGGTCTATATATGAAGTACCATAGTAGTAGTCTGAGTCGGAGCAATAGGTCTGCTCATCATCTGCCATAAACCTGATCCGAGTAGCAGTAGTAGGTATGAAGCTGGTACATCTACTTACTCCTCAGGGACAGTCCATGTTACATTCGTATCACGTTCAATAGAGGGGTTCCTCACTGAGCCAACAGCAGTTGACCTGCAACACACTAGCATGATACATCGTCCACTGGCGGCCTCCTACCCTCCTCCTCCTCGTCGTCCTTGCCTCTGGGGCTTATCATCTTTGTAAAGTGGGGCATATGCATTATCACCCTCGGATGGTGGTGGCGGAGGGGGTTGGCCTCCTCCTCCTGCTGCTCCTGCTGCTCCTGCTGCTGCTGCATACATCTATTTAACAGCAACAGCAATGATAATGATAAGCTCATCAGAGTAATAACCATACATTTGTCACTAATGGATCGAATACGCCACCACCACCACCATCGCCTTGTTGTTGTCCATATCCCCCTCCCAGCAGCTGTGGTTGGTGTCCTATAGCATTGGGCCGGGTCTGAGCATAGACATACCTAGTGGAGGAGATTGCTATTACTACTACCCCTCCTGGCAAAGACCTCCTAGGCTCCAGTAGTTTAGCGAAATCAGCTCGTATGGAGGAGTTAGCTATCCGTCTGAAGGAGTGTATGGATGGAGCACGGCCAAAGACCAGCACTACATGTTAGAAATCTCCTCAACAGCCCTCTCTGCTGTTTGGTTGTCTTCGAATGTGATATAACCGTATGCTAGGGCACCATTCCTAAGAGTAGGGATAGTCTTATGACATCATGTTCTATGGCATCACTATGATCATCACCTGTCTCTATGTAGTTTAATGGCTACTACTGTACCAAATGCCTGCTGTAAAGCATCTCTGATTGCATTCTCAGACATACCATCATGTAGGTTACCAATATATATACGTGGAGTTGCTCCACGTAGATACTCATTGTTCTGGACCTAGTTACCAATACGATAATCATCATCATAGTATCTCTCTCTCTTATCACTACTACTACTCACCTGCATGTGTTTATCCTGAGCCCAATCTAGTCTGACCCTATTACGACCTATTATCTTATCACCAGCAAACTCCGCTACAGCCTTCTCAGCATCACCATCTCCCCCAAACCTGTGATATAATGGTATACTCCCACCACCGCCACATACGCCATCATCACCTAACGTGAGCATAGCACATCTGCTTATATGATCCTCTACGTAAGGCAACCTGCTCTATGCTAATACTGGAGTCACGCTCGAAGAACTGAGACAAGTGATGGATAATAATAATACTACTACTACTAGTAGTAGTATTACTTCACGTATATCCTGTTCAGTTACCTCAACAGGTAGGTTGCCCACAAATAGAGTATGCACAACATCAGGCTTCTTATCAAGTGGAGGCTTATACCTTAGATAACTAGTATTCCTGTGCAGTCCGTATGGACATCATTACGGGTGATGAAGATATCCCATATCCTCTACATAATCCACCTTGGTCTTCAACTCATGCTTAGGTTTATCTCCAGCAATATCTACCAATACCTCACCATTCAGTGCCTTCACTGCAGCATCAGCTGATTCTTCATCGGTGTACCTAGAGGGGTGTCAATGGTCATGTTAGGGTAACCAATCCCACTACTACTTCACGTATGCAAAGCCTTTTAATGCTACGAGCTTCATGCCTTCAACTACACCATATCTAGACATGATGTCATAAAACTCATCATCAGTGATGGAATTAGGTAGAGATCCAACCCATACTGTAGACGAACCTGATGGTGATGATTATCAGGTAGTGAAGGGTAACCCATTTATACCCTCTATCTTCCCTCTAGGTTCGAAGTCTCTACTATCACCACGATGTGAAGGCGGCCTGCGTGACCCCTTACCCCGTCCTGAGAGTAATACCCTACCTTAGATAGGTATTAGATATATTGATAGTAGTACCTCTGGTATCCCAAGAGGACCTGCCCTTACTCTCTCCCCATCGGCTGTTATTACTAGAATACCACTCCTCGCCCTCATCGTCATTGACATCCTCACGACCCCGAGAACGATGATACCGATGAGCATGAGCACTGTTATGCTCATCTTGCCGGTTATCTCTGAGTAGGATGCATCTGCTAGTCTACGACAACTGCCATGCCACTACTACCGGCTCCGAGCACGCCTAGGTGACTCTGCAGCATGACGATGATCAGGAGCATCATACCATCGGGAATCCTCTCTACTACTACTATGGCGAGACCCTGATCGCGATGATGATCATGATGCCAGGTGAGCAGGTACTCTTGAGCCCTATAACGTACGATCTTCTGCTCTCCGACCCCGCCCTCTACGACTACCATCCTCAACACGTTGAGTGTCATTATGGCTACCACGATGACTGAAGGGTAATAGCGGTAATCCGATTACTTGCTATACTCCATCCTACTCTATATGGGCTTCGTAGCTAGCACGTATACCACCACTAGGCTTCTTATCATCATCATCACTCTGCTGCTGCTGCTCACGCTTCACACTCCCATCACTAGATTGAATATGAATGTACTACAAGTACCCCATACACACCAAGTATCACCCCTCCTTCTTATACCAAGATTGCCCATCCCCATCCCCCCTATCTGCATCTCGTCTTGATCGGGTACGGCGTCGGTTACTGTCATCGTATCTATTCATAACTCTACCATAATGAGCCTAAAGGTCATATAATAATACTTCTCATAGCTCCCCGAACCAGGCTCAGATGAGCGCCTCTTCCTATCTCGTGTACTAATATTGTCCGATGAGGTACCAACAGGGGTGAGAGTTACTCCAACTCTACTACTATCGCCACCACCTTGACGTCGTGTAGATCCCTAATAGTCACACTACTCCTCATAATACCGTACCTCCCCTACATTATGATCATCATTATCTTCCCTTATCCGTATAGTAGTAGTGGAGCTTTCATCCCTATCACTCTTCGATGTCCGACTACTCAGCTTCACTGCAGATGGGTCCCGGGACTGTCGATCCCTAGGCGGGGACATGCTACACTGTGGGGAACCTATACTGTAATAGAAGGGTAACACCTTGTTCACTCCGGTAACAGCGTATTTATCCTCCTAGTCTTCAAGGATCTATACAGCTTCGGGTCCAATTTCATCTCACATCATCGTTCGTTTTCGCGATGGTTGAACTCTCAAACATTGAATGTTCTCGCGTATTTTACGGACAGCAACAACCTTACCTTAGTAAGGTTGGCAGAGATTACTTCGATCGAAGCTAAAGTGAAATGAGCTCACGCCCCGCATGCAAGTTTGGTGGGGAGAATCTTTACACACTGTACAGAATCAACCCGTCAGTACTCTATGTTGCACCCGTCGCTAACACTGCCAACTTGCCCTCTTATCGCCCCTCCACGAAGTCCGGGGTTGAGCAAAGGTCATTTAACGGGCTAGCGTAACGGGCAGTGTAAGGAGGAGGAGCTCACTGGTGCTAGTAAAGCGGAATAACAGCTGTGGGACCATGAATGACTTCCTAAGGATATGATATAGGGGAGCCATATATGGTAAAGCTACTGGTCATCGCCTGTAGAGGGCATACTCTAGTATCTACTTGGGACAACTCTCATATGAGGAATGATCGGATAGGTGCTGGTAGCAGAATGTACCCTTGAGCGCTGTATTCTACGACCACGATGTCCCACCGACGTGGTCATACAAAATGGCAGCGTGTAGTTACTCGTCAACATCAGGGGAGCTTTTAGGTTGCATTCACGAGTTGATGACGGAGTGGTTCCTGGGCCGAGTGAGTCATGTAGGTAGTCTACATTTGCTCATTACGTTGTGTATAGTATAGTGGAGGACACCGCTATCAAATTCTCTACGAGCTTGTGGTGGGCTCTAAGAAGGCTCTTGTAAATTGGCTCCATCTTGATGTCATATTCCGTGGTGTTGTGTAGATGTTAACTCCCTGGTAAGGGAGGAAGATGTGTCTCACTGAGTCACACCCTTAGTCGTGGATACTGAGCTAGGTATCGATATCAGGATGAGGTGCATTGCTATGACAAGCATGTCGAGGCTATAGGGGTATGTAGTGAGGCTATCCTGTTAAAGTGGCCAGCCTTCAACAATGCCGTGTTGATGTCACTGCTGCCTTGGTGGGCGTACTATGGGGTCCCGTTGTGTGTAGTAGTAGTAGTAACATGAACCGTGCTATCAATGGTGAATATCCTTATTATCACACAGTGAGCCACTGAGGGCAGCCCTTAGTGAGGACCATCCGGGAGATCTTAGTATGCTGGAATATCGAGCACATGCGATGACTGTGGATACTACCCATTTAAGGGGTAACCTACAGTCCCGTGGAGCATAAGCCTAGATCAGCTCCTCGCACATGTAATCTCAACCCTCTCCTTGTCTGATTACCCGTATGTAACCACGTAACAGTATTGTGTTCCAGTCGGATTAACTAGTTCTCCTCTGGTGTATCACTATCATCCTCAGCGCCGCCAGTTTTTCTTACTCTACTCCCGTCTAGGGCCCTTGCTGCAATGAAATGCTTGATCCTAGTCGGTGGTTACGGTACAAGACTCCGTCCACTCACACTTACTAGCCCCAAATCGTTGGTCCCTTTTTGCAACCTACCCATTGTGGAACACCAAATAGCTGCTGCTGTAAGGCTGCTATACCAGCAACCTACAGTAGCATACGTCCCTACTGTTCATAGGTAGAGTGTGGTGTGGATCATGTCGTCCTTGCTGTGGGCTTCCAACCTGAACATATGCAACATGCCCTCAAGGAGATGGAGACCAAGTATGGTGTGAAGATAACATGCAGCATCGAGACAGAGCCGTTGGGCACTGCTGGACCGGTACTTCCCAGAAGGAGGAGGCGGCATGTAGCCTAAGTAGGATTATCCATTCTTTTGCAGTTGTACCTGGCCCGTGATATCCTACTATCGGACGATGAACCTATATTCGTCTTTAATTCGGATGTTATATGCGATTTCCCCTTGAAAGACCTGTTGAAGTTCCACAAGAGCCATGGTAAAGAGGGTACCATCGTGGTAACCAAAGTGGAGGATCCATCCAGGTAAGTAGACTCAGTACTCCCTTTACCATCTCTTCTATACCCAGGTTTGGTGTGGTAGTCTATGATGAACTGACTGGTAAGATAGATCGTTTTGTTGAGAAGCCTAAGGAGTTCGTAGGAGACAGGATAAATGCTGGCCTGTAGTATTCACATACATGATCATACCATCATCATCTGTGGCAGGTACATCCTATCTAACTCGGTCATAGAGCAGAGGATAGGTCCCCGATTCATGATGATAGAGACTGATGTATTCCCTCAGATGGCTACTGATGCTCAGCTGTATTGTTTCCAACTTGAAGGGTCGGTAGTACCAGGAGCTGTTCATCAATCCTGAAGTATCTGATAGTAGGTATTGGGCAGATATAGGGCAACCTAAGGATTACCTTAGAGGGATGAGCATGCATTTAAACTTCCTATCCCACAAGAATGAGGATAACAAGGTAAAAGGAGAGATTGGAATTGGGACGAAGAGCTGGAAGGGTGCATGTGGTTGATGCTGATAATATCGTCGCTATTAGTGTTATCTCAGGTTACTAAGACTCATGAGAAGTTGGCACGGTCCCTCCCAGGCGTGGAAATAGTCGGCAACGTGAGTCTATGACGCAAGTCATACATGCTGGTGATGGTGGTATTCTCTGGTTAGGTATTGATAGATGAGAGTGCCAAGATAGGAGAAGGCAGCAAGCTAGGTCCTGATGTGACCATAGGCCCAGGTGTTGTCATTGGTCGAGGGTGTCGTGTAAAGGGCAGTGCTGTGATGGATGATGCTGTGGTATATACACTTTACTTGCATCGTATTCCTATTATCATCATCATTCTATTATTAGATTTCCGATTATGCTACTGTTTTTGGATCCATTATTGGATGGAAATCACGTATTGGTAGTTGGACTCGAGTAGACCCAATGACTGTTGCTGCAGAGAGTGTAAGCAGCCTCTAGCATTAACGGATTAAATAGGACTTAGTCTTGTCCCTTTTAGGTTGACATCAAATCAGAATTGTATATTAACGGAGCATTCCTCCTGCCCTTTAAGGGTATCAAGGACTCTGTACCCACTAATGGTCAGATCATTATGTGATGATCATCATATCCGCACTAGTAGTGCGGCACTACTACCGCCAACCTCAATCCTCATCACCCAATCCATTTAGCTATGTATCATCCAATAAGGGTGACCCAGAGATGCTTATCACGCTATACCTAATCCGATCATCGTTAACGTTATTGCTGCTGCTACTCGTGCTCTGTGGTGTTCAGTAATACGTTCATACCTCATATCCTGTTGTGTTGAATGAGAGGCTTCATATTCAGATTGTACTAGGAATTGCACGCCTAGTTGGTTTCGTGAATGTGCACGCAAGGATTGTGTCGTGGTGTCCCTAGCTTTGTCCCCCTCCACAGTTGAGTGTGTTTTCTCCTCTCTCTCCGTTTTATCTCCTCATTAAGTGATGATAATGAAGGCTATCCTGTCGTCGTCCCTCGGTCTCATTGTGAGTGTATTGGCAGATAACTCAACATCAGGGTTGCCTTCTACTATAGCACCTACGACGGGATCTGCTACAGGGAACAGCGTCACCACAACATTACTACCAACAACAACAACTACCACTCCAACAACAACTCCCACTCCAACAACAACACCTGTACCAACGACGGTGCCACCACCAGAGTTGTACTGCCCAGCTGGTTGGTGCCGTGACACGATGTGGTTCCCCGGTAGTCCCTGCATTACACCTGATCCAACTGTGCTAGGTCCTTGTTGGGACTCCTATTGTAAGGCTAATGTTGTTTTCCCGACTTCTGTCCCCACTGGTGGAATCGTCATTGACCCCGGTCAGGATAAGGGTTCCTATTGTAAGTCTTGGCAGACCCCCGCTGGACGTGTATGCTATGGTAATGATACTATTGCATGCGAGTGTGATTCCTTCAATTCGACATCTACGATTACTGCTGTCCCCGGTTCACAACCAAGTGGATGGTTACCTGCTGTAAACTGTTCATATCCTCAACCTATTACAACAACAACGACTTTGTCACCACCTTGGAATCCTTTTGATCCAACTGATCCGGATAACAATAATGGTCAAAAGACGCCTCCAGCTGTGCCCCCACCACAGCCTTCGAGTTCTGCTTCTCGCCTCATTGATGTCAGCTCTCTCGTTACTACACTATTCCTTCCTCTTTGTATTCTAGCCGTTATTCTGCATTGAGGGGCGATGTTGAACAACTAGGTTGTTGTTGTTGTTGATGTAACTATGATGATAGTGCTATCAGGTAGAGCGACATGAAAGGAGTTTTTAAGTGTCTCCTTCTGTTCTCTTGAGTGGTGTGGACATCATGGTTACTATATTGGGTGCTCCGTGTCGACCGTTGAAACGGTTCTGTTTGCTCTTGTATTATCATCATCATTCTGTTATTATAGTAACTGTTGAGGAAATTATACGCGTTTTACCCTGATACTACACATAATGTTGTGATGTACACTTACTGGAATGTCCTCAACAAAAAGGGTTCCTCTGAAACGGAAAGTTCGATGTTAGCCTGTGATATCACTACTGCATTGAACGGTGCGTTTGGTCTGCTGTTCTTCTACTTCTTTCCATCTAGTAGTAACCTCCAACGTAGATTGCTGCTATGACTGTTGCCTAGATAATCATTCTGTTGTGATGCCTTGGCAATGGAGACTAACACAAAGCTTGAGTTACTCAATGACAAAGGCTAACGAGCTTATATCATGACATTCATCATTAACATCATTGAGTGATTAAACTCCAATAGCGGCTGCACGGATCGCATCGTTACTCTCTGGTCCCTTCAGTGTTCTCTAAGCAGTTAAGAGTATACGACAATCTCGATATATTCAGGTTGTCTACTACCATCATCTCCTCGTGGGCTTCTTTGGCTTGACGTGGCATGGTACTGAGATCAGCTAGATATCTATGGGGCCACTTCGACATGATGAGTCATTTGCTTAGATGTACCCTTTATCGCTCTCTTCAGCCAGACGTGTGAGGTCTTCCTTAGCAGCGTCCTCCCATCCATTGAGCCCACCAAGGGATCCGCGGAGTGCATCTATAAAGCGACGTCGTGGTCGTCGTGTTACAGCGTACATCCACCATTAGCCGTATACCTTCATCCTTCCTGATCCTCCTCTGTAAACCTTGGCGGACCTGAGTGACAGAGTGATATTAATATTGCGCGCGAATAAACAGTGGTATACTTTGCTGAAGTCTATCTGCACAGGTTCCATATGGATTGGGCTTGGTAGAGGTTTCTCCTCCTCGTTGTTATTATTCGAGAGCAAACCTTTCTCCTTGAGTACATGCATGAAATGACCCTTTTGTAGGACCTTCTTTCCACTATGGACGGTGTGGTGGTGATGATGATGACGAGAGATCTCCGTACCAAGAGAAGTTAGTACGTTAATGATCTGAGGATTTTATTATTGTATTAGCAAAGTGCATTAAGTTCACTCACAGAGAGAATGAAAACTTGACCGACGAAAGTGGTGATCATAATGGAGTAGAAAGTGGTGTTGTGGTAATAGCTGAGTGAATGAGCAAGTTAGCGTACGACCATTTCTTCCCGGTCCTTTTACAACACAACACACAGGTAGCAAGAAACCCTACGACACTCTGATTACACACTGCTTCTGGGATATGCTAATTTATTCTGGGTCTCTACCATTTATATCTCGAAACGGTATAGTGTTGCTAAGGAATAACGACTTGTTCCACGACCACACAGATATCACCCCTACTTCAGGGTACTTCAATCTACAGGATGTATACGGAGGTAATGGAATGTAGTAGTGGACAAAAGGATCCGGCTCATGTACGATATATAATACTCCTTAACAATACTTAGGGCGTAATTATACATCACTGGGCTGTGAACCCAACTACTAAATACAGACCCAGTGTGGATTCAGTGGTGGAATCAATTCCGACCCATATTTGATGATTCCTCCCCAAAGGGTACACGCCAGAACTGCCCTTCGATGAAGAGGTGAGCATCAGTTACTCCTTGCCATCACCCTCCTATACCCTGTGATGTACGGTATATGAGAGTATCACGTAAGGTGGTGACGGGAATGAGGTATGCCCTAGGGGCCTTGATCCCTGAAACATAGGCTATGGGGGAAAGGATTAGTGATGCATTATGGACATAGCGAGTAGCATAGGATAGGGGATCCAACACAGATAAAGATGGGTGTCATAACAATGAACCGGAACTCAAGGCTACTCCTCAGGGAGTGTCCAAGGCATAGAGCAGGGAGCACTGACTGACCTCCCAGTGGGGAGGCTACTTTAAAGCTAAGAGAAGGGACCGACCATAGTCGAATTGAGCCAACCTGCATCGTCTATCTGTCATCACATGAGGGGGTATGTGAGGACGCCACTATACCTAATAACTCAATACTACTACGTACCATTATAATGTATCATTAGAACCAATCAGAGTTCTCAAATTGAAACAATGAATAGAGCTGGGAGTACGCGGTGATAGCGATCGATAGCCCAATGCCCAGCAATGAAGAGAGAACCATAGTCAACTAGCACGAGTAGCCTCGTGGTATGCGTCTATTCATACTGCTTGGCCCCGCTTCTTGGTTATCGATAGAGCGTATATACCCAAATACATGCTTATCTCTTCCATAGAGTCTGTTAAAAATCTGATACATACAAATGACTAAGGAACGCTCGAGGCAATGTCACAATACTTCCAGCTTTTATAAATCAGGAATCCTAGATACAGTCCCAAGATGACATCACTGTGACGTGGAAAGAGTTGTAAGTAGTCTATCACGAATATGATGGGTAATGGTACCTAAGGTAGTGTGGATGAGCAACGATAATATCACTATCTACCAAGAGGGAATGATATCTGGGATAAGTCATCCTCGTCATACCACATAATATCATATTATTCGTTAGATAGGTAAAGGCGATGCCTAAAGATGTTAATAATGGTAAACAGATAGAGCCTCCATCTACCAAAGGTTCCTAGGACGAGTCTAGGATGAACTGTTGGTATCAGGGTCCAGAGCATGCCACACACCATAAGGGACATGACGGGGATTAATTGCATCATCGCAGTATGCTGAGATAGGAATACATTAAGAGGAGGTATCTATCGTGTTGTGTATCGGCCACATTCCCTACTCACTATGTGCTTTGCATGCCTGGCCACATTAAACATAGCATCAATACTACCATATACAGTAACGCAGCAGTTGAATATCATAATATAGTCTATGATCTCGAGGTGGAGGGATGGTATAGGTTGTATATGCCATCTATAAAGAAGACGGCTCATAACAGGGCTAGAGTGATGATCGTGATGGGACTACACTCTTGGTCCAAAGAAGTAGCTTATTATGTGCAATGCCATGCAAGTGAATTCTGCTTCTGTGACACCATAAAACGACAAACCACAACGGAAGACACGAGTATGATATCTGAGATCATATACCATATACATATACCTCAACTGTGTTTACTCCTCCCATTGTGCCAAGAAAAAGGGTACTATCATGAACATGAGCAACGCCATGGCCTGAGGGCCGCTTCCTAGAGCAGTACCTAGCATTATCTATAAGCTACGATGAGGAGAGAAGGTTGACGAGACTACTACTCACTTGCCATAATACTCATACATATGAAGGTGGTAGAGATAGAGTCACAACCGTGATCAAATAATTGACCCAGAGGTCCAGCACTTCCTGTCCGTCGGGCCTGTTTACCGTCTATCGCATCCATCGTTTGATAACTGGTAATATATAGTCGGCTTTCATGAGTTGTTGTCACCATTACAAAAATAGGCCAAATGCATTGGCTAGATAGGTCCATTTTGGTGACTCCTCAGTGAAGGTCGGTGTGTAATAAGCTATAGAGAAGTACGATAGGATCATCGCTACCAATCCTACTAGAGTTATCATGTTCGGTGCTATCTAACCAAATGATGTTCATAACACTCAATGATGATGATGAGGTCTCTACTACCTCCTTGGGCACAAGTAGTATGACCTTATTCCACCAATACTGATTCATAAAGTTATCCAACATTGTTGCTGTACCAGGATTAAACTCGTAGTTGGATAGAGTCTTAAGGCCCTTAACAACAGCACGTAGTATTAATGTAGTAGGATACTAGTAAGATTCACCTCCTCTGTGATCTTCATCCTCTTGGCTTTAATAAGATCTATCCTCCTTTGCCTATCATCACTACCATCTGCCTGCCGTTGTTGTCGATGTCGACCCTCCGGCCCTCCTATTCCCTCACTACTAAGTTTTCGCTTCCGAGTGGTAGTACTGGTAGACGACGACCGACTAGGCCGCCCCCGCCTCCTGCTATTACTAGTAGTAGAGGAGCTCTCTCTGGGTGATCTATCAGAGGCTTTACTACACCTGGTTGATGATGATGATGATACCATAGACACTAGTCAAAAAGGGGCAGCACTGAACTAACTACATCCTCCCAGCAGGCCATGGTCGCACACGTGGTGGTGGTAGCCTAGGCGGGCGGCGGGGGCACTTACGTAATCTTGCTCACTTAAGAGTTCCAAACGGTGGAGCGCACAATGGGCCTAATGTCCAATAGGCTACTTTATCCCGGTGACACACACGGATTAATGATGTTGTCGTGACATTCTCTAGACACCGCATCATACAATAGCAAGTGTTGTGTGTGGTCCTCAAGGTCGTGGGCCCACAATATCAGATCACTAGTCGTCACCTTGAGTAACATGCATCTATATCACAATCTAACACGTATATTCACATACCAGATATGAGACCACAATCACTGGATGATAATCGGCGGTGAGTTTATGGTTAGTGAGCTGTTGCCGCTATTATATCCCTGTAATTTTGTGTAGGACCGAGAAGGCTCCCCGAGAAGACGACGGAGGGCTAAGGAACAATGGACGAAGAGACAATGAGGTTGGACCGACGAATGAGGAGTAAACTGTTGCGCTGGGCACGCGTGTCCATGGCCTTCCTACGGAAAACTACGATGGATATTGTCTCCCTATCATGGCAAGGGGTTAGACTAGAAGTAGAGAGAACCGTCGACAATGTTCACGAGCATCAGCCCACCAACAGTAGAATTGAATAGGGATGGACTTTGATGACATCCTTCTCCCAAGGTGTGACATTCATAATAATGAGAGGGGGCCTTTCCTTCACTGACCGCTTCGGGTCATCACTGGCAGCTTATGTTCTATCACATACGTATACCATTACATATTGCTCTTCGTATTGCAGCAGACCATGAGCCTGGTCATATACCCACTGATAGTCTGATAGTGTGGTGTTGTTGTTGGTGTTAGTCAATGACGCTAGACTCCTTATTGTTGTTATTGGAACTATGTCCGAGAGCCTCCCCATAACTACCGACATTGCTGTATCCCTTCAAGAGTCATCATCCCATGAGCATACTACTATGTGTACTTCACCGTCACTCAATATTGTATCTTATCTCTATCAATCAGGTCAGCGAGTAACAGACTTCTTCCTGAGCCTTTGCTCGTGGGCCAGAGTAACCTCTCCTAATCAAGATCTCAATAGTCATGAGGCTACTGAAGCCCTAATACCTGTCAATATTAGTGCTCTCGATTATGGGGCCAGGGATGATACATCCACACCCACAGCAGCATTGGGAGGAGGTGAAGGAGAAGGAAGCTGTCCACGACAGGATAAGCCTGGCGATACCATGGGTTCTGGCGTAGATAGCAGCATCTTACTACCTAGGCCTAGAGGAGATCAGGTTACACCAACACAGTTGATATCGGTATGTTGTTATTTTCGTGGTCTCAGCCTCCACCCTCGACTTGCGTATCGTCAACGCTCACGAGCCCAGAGGTCCATGCATCGGGTCATAGACGTAATAGACGTGAGGATATATGGCTCTTTTTCATGAGTAACATGATATACCATCATTAGAAACTATTATCGATTTCTCTGGGATACCAACACCCACTGTGAGTGATGTGTGTTCGGATGATGAATATCTGAATCGAATGGCTAGGGATGATGAGAGCGACAAGGTGGGACAAGGGGATGGCCCTATGTGCTTTGAGGGATAGGCAGGTATCATCTGGGAGTAGTGGTACTTCTGAGAAATTAGAGCGTATGCGAGAGGAGGGTAGAAGACGTGTACTGGCTCGAAAGCTAGAACAGGAAAAGATGATTGAAAACAACAATCCCACACCCACTACGACACAATAGTAAGTCATCTACACCATCACAATGAACAACATTGTATAGACGACGTGATCATGTATTAGATAAGGTTCAATGCTGATACCGACCATTCAGGTACCATCAGTGCATGCATCATCATGATAACTTCATCCAACCGCTTGTAATTCCCTAGTAGTAGCCTCATGTGAAGTGTCAGTCCATGATCACCCTCCATATCAATGATAACCCTTTGTTGGTAGTACCATGCTTCTATACGATACCACCGTTTGAGTTATGTCAGTAGTCCGGTCTGCCGTAGTTGGGATCATTGCAATTGCTCATTACTTGCTCAAAAGGGTAATGGTGGTATGAGACTGACCCTCAATGCTTGCCAATACACGATGACTACTAGCTAGGTTTAGCTGAGGAGTATGGCGAGAGCCATATAACCTAGCTGATGCCATATAATCTAGGGATCTCTGAGGATATTCTCATAATCTTGCCCCGTCATGAGGTTATTGAAGTCACGTGATGCTATATTCATACGTGCCACATTCACCGATGTTAACATAAATGGCTCTCATACCCAGCCTACTAGTAACTCAAAAATCATGATAGCAATTCTAGATGAGACCTTCCCCAGTATGATCAACATCATCATTATCGTCCAACGACCTTTCCCCGAACGACATACTCCCATAAAATCATGTGGGTCTGTCATTGCTACGCCATTGAGGGGAATATGAGTCCTCAAAGCTATAGCGAGGCTCTGCTGTTAGCCGCCGCCCTCCTGGCTGGACAACACGATGCTTGATGACTCTCCACCTAGTGCATATCATGTAGACAGGACTAGATGGAAGGGTTCATTTCTGTAGAGGAGTACTCCGCTACCATCATGGCCTTCATGCTGTACCCACTACCTCTTCCTTGATCCGACTTGGTAGGATTACTCTGATTACGCGACCCACATACAGTCGTTATAGTTGATATTCTCATCATACTATTTGGGCACCAAGCATAGATCACATCTCTATTAGAGAAGATATTCCTCTCCCCAGAGATTGAAATACGTCAGAATCATCGAGGACGGCTTGCGCTAGTGCATACTCTATTCGAAGTAGATTACCATCAATAAGATTACCTCTCTCCCTGGAGAAATTAGCTAGATCATCTCAGACCATTGGGTTCGATGATAAGTTGGTTGCGTTTGACTCTGCTGAGCTAGGATAACCACCCATCATAACGCATCCAGCAAGGATCCAGGTAAGGCCAGGGAATCACAACGAATGTATATCTGTCGACGACAGACTGTCGTTGTTACTACTAATGAACGATTCAACTTCATTGGATTGTTAGAAAAACTTCCTGTAGTTTTTCGTTTAGAAAATGTCGAGTAATAATGAACAGTTGACGATAGTGCTAATCATAATACTACGTTGTTGACTCTCACTCTCGATGGATCAATCTTCAAGGCCTTGGCAACAGCCTAACAACACAGGGGTGCATCATACACTGCACGGGGCCAATACGACAACATGGCAGCTAGTCCAGTCTTACGTCAATGAACAACCCTTCTAGATTGGCACGAGCAGTCTTCTTATCGGAACCGAACATATCCGATGCACCACTATCCCATCCAATATCAATACGCATACGGGCCGCCGAATACGAGGCAGTACATACACCCTTCTGATAGCCTAGGAAGATGTAGCCCATAGTGGAGGGGGAGAAGGGTCTCGAGAAGAAAGCACACCCCACCTGATGTCCCACCACCAAAGGCTGCATCATTATCATTGATGCCACGTTGGAGGCTTGGGTCGAAGCCTGCTTCCTTCTTCTGTTTGGGCGCCGCCCCATTAGTTTGACCAAAACTCGCCTTTTGTGTACCAGCCATGGTCAGGTCTGGAAAGCCGACTTGGAAGGCATCTTCATTAGGATTGCCGAAAGCATTGTCCCACTGAAAGCAATATCATCGTACCAGCAGCAGCAGCAGTAGGCGGGTGAATATTCCTACAGCAGCTACCGCCTCTGCAGCAGCATTCGATGATGTGCCTCGGAAAGGTAAAGCCTGAGAAGGACGAGGGGATATTGGTGGGTATGATAATACTGTAGTGGGACGGCTCTTCCTACATCCCATGCAAGGTGATGGTCATCTGTTGTTGGATGTTGCCGTGGTAGTTTATCAGTAGTTTCCAACACCGTACCGAAGGGCGACGATTCCTCCTCCTCCTCCTTCTCCTCACGGGGTGAGGTACGCCGAGCTGAGCGTATTCTAAGGTTGTGAGTGGATCACGTCACGTGGTGCTGCTATCTGTGCTAATGTGGTACTTCTTCTTGTGAGCTTTCGACTCGGGTCGTCGAGCCTTACTACTGCCACCATGGTTACCCCTCGATGATACCTTGTCAGACTGTCTAGAGCGGCCAGCAACACCAGGCAGAGCTAGTGTTGGTACGGGTTCGAGTGCCTGGTAGGAATTGCTGTGAGTTATGAGCGGTGTGGAACGTAAAAATTCGATAGGAATATTTATTCGGTATACTATCATACTTTGAATCCATAGTCCTCATATGCGTTATCATTATCCTCATCAGGCTCCTCATCATCATCAGTAGCATCATTGAGCCGTTGTGTCTCCTCATTGAATCCAAAGGATGGTATAGTAGCTAATGGGTCTCTCATGCTTGCTGCCGTGGTATTCCCTCCTACAGTGGACGGATTGGTAATCGATGAGAGAGATCTGAGCTCACCATCTCGAGTATTGAATCGACTATTCCCTCTTCCAAATTGCCTATTCCTAGCATCTTCTTGTTGGTCTCGTTGTGTAATACTCCGAGTCCAATTATCAAAACGGGATTCCATTTGACTTACCTACAACTTAACTGGTAAGAAGAGGCGACTAACTGCTAAGGTGGTGTCATACCTGTTCTAGTACTTCAAATATCCGATCAGTACTGCCAAACTGACCATTCTCAACTAACTCTTCGGCACGAGCTTGTAACCTATCTCTATTCTGTTGTATCTGTGAAGAGTAACTAGCCTCCACTAAAGATAGGCCCAATAGTAGTTTCACCTCGAGCATGAGGTTATTGATAAAGTCAACGCTATCAGGAGTAGCAGGTTGTCTAAGTGCATCCTTCATAACGTCCAAGGACGAGTTGAGGGTATCCACTAATTCATCGACATTGGCAATAGTAGTAACAGCATCCGCTGAGAGGGCCGACGACGACGACAGACCTGACACCACTGAACTCCTCCGTCGTGATGGTGCTGTTGCTGCTCCTGCTGCTGGGATGGTATTCAAGGAGTGCCTGGCTGGTGGCATACGAAGGTACTGACAAGGGTATGCTTAGGAAATGGCACAACGCTGGTAATGGCTTCAACCATGGCTACAACTATCATCATCATCAGTTCACCACGCATCCCACCAATTTCTGATTATCGATTAGAATTGGGATGACCCCTCTGGTATGATCCCCTCCCCTCAACAGCATGCCTACTCGACATATACGTAGACTGTGTAAATCTAATCAAATACTTAGTTGAAAATAGTGGATACACAGAGATGAGCAGCAGTATTGGTATGCTAATGAGCGGTACCTTAATCATCCACATGAAACCAGCATTAGCAGTGGCAGCAGCTGCACCCAGTTTGGGTTATGAAGTACCATTTATGGCAACAGCAGCAGCAGCAGGGAAGCTTATCTCCTTGGATGTATGATAATGATAATTGAGAATCGATCATCTTGTGGTTGTTATCATATACGATTGCAGCACAATGCTTCAGCATAAATCGATGGAATGGTCTTGAGCAGAGTAATAGTAGATATGATCATAATTAAGAATAGCTAGAAGACATCTCTACAAACAGGGCATGTCCTCTTATACTTGGACCAATTCTGTATACACCGTACACAGAAGTAATGACCACAGCATAGTTGCCATACCTGATAATGATGATCATAATACATGGCAGTGTGCCTGCAGGGAGATTAGGCTCATTACACTCTCATCCCTTGAGAACTGCTTCAGACATATACAACAACACTCGCTGTATTCACAATCAATGATGGATTCATCATCATCATCATTATCATGACAAAGGTCGGCCACACCACCTCCTTTCTCCTCTTCTTGTGATGATTGATGATCTGATAACGGTAACTCTGTGGGAGCCGACATAGAGAATATGACCTTTGTTCGGTCCTGCAATGGAAGGAGGAGCCTTTAGAGGTATATGTATTGTCCGACCAGATGGAGCACTCAGAGTTAGCCTAGTCTTGTTGACCTTATTGGAAGCCGAGAATAATCGAAGTTGCCCCTCTAGACCACTACGTGATGGACGCCACACATGTCTAAGCATGTGGAAGAATGGGCAAAGTATTGGTAATAAACGTACCTGCAGTAGCTACCAAGCTTATGAATCCATTCACGCCTGTCGTGTTCGGATTCTGCTGCAAACATCCATTCCCTCCGAGATGGGGTCTCAGCCTCAGTACCGATTTCAAAGGAGAACCTACAAACATACCATACTATGACCAGAATCAGTATTCTACCTATTACTACTTTCCTGCTATCATATTATAATTGGGTACTCGTGGAGATATCTCCCATTCCACTAGATAATCTGCTAGAGCCAGGTCCAATATCTACAACAGTATCTCCTTCAAGACTAACGATGGGTACTACCTCGGTGACGAGCCCTCGAGGGACATCCTCTGGCTGTTTGAAGGTATATAGCTTATCTATTATGAGAACCTAGAATGATGATGATGATGAATCTAGTAGCAGCACTCAGATGGTGTTAATTCCTACACAGTAACGTCGTCGAAACCTCTTCAAGTGCTTAGATTGCTTATACAAATAACCACAATAGCTAGCATGATCGATATCGATATTAGGAGATATCATACGAGTGTCGTGGTTGGCAATACGTTGGGACCAGGGCCCTACAGGAACTACATTGGTGAGTGCCAAAGTAGGGGAGAAGACCTGTAAATGAGTATAGGTATTGAGGTGTATAGCACAGTTACCGGCCGCCTGGGATGCCTGACCTCTTCCAATACACGTCCTACGAAATGATAGCATCCTCCTCCACAAGTAGTGATAGCCATAGACAGTTGGAGTAGGACAAACACCACTCACCAACTGAATAGGAGGGGAGGAGTTGTCGAGTTCCTTGACTACTCAGTGAACAACTCAACATGGTATGCGTGTTGATCAGAAACCGTAAGCATGTATTAGCATGCTCAACACTTGACAACGGTAATGCAGAGAAAACAACGTTACACTCTGCCAGGTACTATGGATAGGAATAGCACAGGCCGCCTTACACAACTCGGAGGTAGCTATTATGTGCAGAAAGGACCAGTATCGCTAGCCATCTGTAACAATACTGTAGCAATACCGATGCACAAGCCTCGGGCGACGCATGTACCAATCTATGAACATAACGGTCTCGTATGGAGTGAAGAGAGCTACATCTTGTGAACCAATGTCGGTCGCATGATTTCTGCTATATCCTTCTTATCGATTGATGTCTTCACTAATTCTCCACTTAGATATATAATATGTTTCTCTATAGGATGCTTCTCCTTTCTAATGCCTCGATCAGATAATTGAATATTGTCGGATGATCTGGAGCCTCTCGCTTCTCTCTCAACCCACTAGACACAGCCTTACTTCTGAATATATGCATCGCGTGAATGCGACAAGGTCGTATTCCCCTCGACATCATCATCAAAAACAGCCTTCCCATATACTACCATGTAACGAAATCGTTTTGTGACATAGGTCTCTACCATACTTAGTGTATAGCTATTCACCATGTCGTAGGCATTGTTGCTACCCAATTGTTGGGTTATCTCGGAGGCTGGTATCGAATCATCAGTTGATACATCTTAAATTAATAACATATTCGAGATTCCTCCCATGTTACTTTCACCCCGTTTGCCAGCACTTAACCAAGTGTTAGGAGTTCAACACCTCATACCTAAACACAGGCGGTCGTTCAATCATTTGGAATTACCAAGTTGCGCCGACTCTGACACTGATAGCCTCCCATATATCGCAGAGATGGAAATATAATGAAGGTTGGTATCCAGTAGTAAGGTACTTATACCATTTCATCCACTAGCCTGCTATTCGATGATTCTTATTCACTCCGGGTGAGCAAGAATGACAAGTCAACAGAAGGACCATAAGTATCGATCGTTTCAACACTGATTTTGTGACGCGGTCATGCGTTGTGTTGTTGGCACGCGCGAGGATCAGTGGAAGCTCAGAGCCGTTTATAGTTTAAAATGGGCTAACATACTCAGGGCATCTTCAAATCGAACTCTTACCGATTCCATCTCCCAAGACGACGATGCCTCTGGAATAGGCCTACCACTTCCGGAGTACCAAGTATTATCTGAAGAGCTAGTGTTTCGAGGTCACTCTATATACAAATGGTAGACACAGGGGATTCAGTACTTGGGCCCCTACAGCAATCCGAAAGGACTCTGAATAAACTAAGCCCGAATATACGGCTATGTAGTACGGGATTGCAATGGTCTGGCAGATCTCAATATCAACGAGTCTTCCCTCCTGTTATCGATATGTGGGATTGGATTCCTAGGCATTGTGATCTAGAAACTAGATAGCACGATAACTACTATGAGGTGTGATATCCAGTAGGCTAAGACCTATCTTTGCTCTATCAACGCGATAAGGAAGGAACCGGGGAAGGCTAGCGAGTATATCGGGACGGCGGCTATCGATACGCAACGTATATCGGCTACTACGTATATGAGGGGCCCATCAATTCAGGCTGCTTTGGTCATTAGAAGCCAGTTATGTAATGTCGAAGTGTGACTTGAGTAAGATGGGGTACACACTGGCTAATGGGCTTTACTAAGTCGGCTTACGTTTGGTGTTCTGTCTCATTGGAAGTATTCATATAATGAACTCAAACATTCGATCAGGTCTCACTCGAATCATATTCTACTGGATCGTATCACCGACTATATCAAGCATAGGACTTATCCTCCTCTCTACAGGTATATGAAGTTATGTGCAGGAAGTGTGTACTACTCTCGGATCTTGGTGCAATTGGCCACTTCACAATACAACCGCAATTGGCACACTTACAAGCAGTATAGATTTTGCTTTAGACCCCGTTGCCATTCCGATTGATATTTCCCTTCTAGCTACTCTCTGTGAAGTGAACCCTTATCATCACCAGCTCAATGCTACCAAAGGCGACATGAGTAATGTCCTTGCCACTACCATGGTGCTATTCGTATTACGAAAGGAGGTTGAATCGCAAATTAGAGCAGTGAGGGCCAGGGATATGGGTAGGAGAGTATGTCTCATGTGTTCCTCAGATCCCTTGCCTTCTAGATACACTTTCTTAGGTATTGTTTATCCAGAATCTTGTTAGCGAAATACAGCCCAAACCCTGTAGTACGAAGAGCAAGCGCTGGAAAATAGCGCTGCTTTATATGTTTCGATATCTGATGTGTCTCAACCTCCTTTGAGTTATTGACTAGGTCATGAGGATTAGTTGGTATAGTCGACTAAGCAATGGCATTCCGATTCCGTCGAGAAGGTGATAGGATCAAACACCGCATGCACGAGGAGGTGGGCCACCATGCTTCTCATAAGAGGGGGATCAACCATTCAGCGTATGGGTATGCGTCCATGGATAAGAGACTTTAAATGGAGGGTCTTCGGTTGGCATTATGAATTCTACATGGAAAAGAAGGTGCTTAGCTAAGTCGGTATGAGTTCCGTCTTGGAGATGCTCGAACCCTCAAGGCTCGACAAGCCCTTCTGAAGGACCAGAAGATGGCACCGACGATGCAGGTCTTCTGTGACATCAAGACCAATGGTGTGTCAACCAAGGGTCTCAATGCTACTAAAGGTGGTGCTCTCTACAAGGGGATGATTATCAAATTACGCTGTTGATAGGTGCTGATAACCGTCCGGAACATGGACCGCTAGAATACATAAGACTAAGTACTTTACATGGCGGCGTTGCATACCCAATATCGTGAGTTCGATCTCTAACTGCTGTTCATGTATACTGTAGGTACCATATCGCAAGAGCACGAATCCTTTCTGCAAGTAGGGTTTTCTCACTATCAAGACATGTATCCCTCTAATGTTTGTTTGTTGTCGTCAGAGTATCCTCCAATACAACAGGGTGGACTGAGCTCCAGAAGAGGCGTATACCGGACCCTGTACCGAAGGGATGGAGTGGTCATCATCAGGGTATAGGAGGTAATATTATCACTCCTAAGATCAGCCAATACTGGTTCGGCTTCTTAAGGTACGGATGATAGCGTACCTATCCACCCTCAGTATCAATAGCTCATGTTTCGGTGATCTTCATAGTTTCTCGAGGGCTTATACTTGTGTTTGAGTGGAACATGCTATACTCGGAACATCCATTAGTTATACTAGGCATACACAAGATCCCACAGTTGAGACAGTCAGTTGTCATGATCATGATCATCATCGAGCAGTGAATGGAATAACATTTGGGACCTTCCCTCGCCTTGTGCCCACCATGGGCACCCTGTCCACGTGATTGCGAGTGTGGTAGGTGTCTACTGTTTCCCTGATGGGTTGACCTATGTGATGTGCTGAACACGTCCAAGTACCGTAGGTGGTCTCTCATCCTATTCTTCATAATAGAGCCTAGGCTTCCACGAGGCAGTGGGAGAATTGATGCCAGAAGGTCATCAATCTAAGAGTTAATGAACTACACCATTGCTAACCTTGACTGTATCACTTCCTTATCCTTGTGTGATCCCAGACGCACCTCACCTGGTGTCGGTCTCTCTGAATGATTCAAACGTGCAGATATCTCCTCCATCCTTGATCCTGTTCATTCAATCATGTATCAATAGTATTCATACACATCTCACTCCTCCGAATTTCCGTTTTGGGTGCTCTGTCTCCCACTACTTTATCATCACGAGTCCAGCCCTTACGCCTTAGTTTGACATCAGTGTTCCGAGTCCTCTGTCGGTCCTTACTCTCCCGTTGTATCGGGCTCCAATAGAACCTCATTGATGCAGTGAGCAGCAGCGTGAGTTGCGTTAACAAGAGGTCTCACTTTGCCCCATGCCCACTATGACTGACATCGTGTCCACAGCTACATAGAGCTACTGGCCCTCCAGGGCATACACAGCTGGCCCACAGATAGTTACATCTGGAGCATCTCCGACGCTTCAAAGATAGCACAAACTGAGTACCTCGAGATAGTGATGATACCTGTCCCAGAATGTGAAGGTATGATTACAAGTGCATCCCTGTATAGAGCAGTATCCTAATTGAGTGGTAGGCTCATGCTGTGCGAGACGGTGGCCACATTCACATTCATGTGTATCCCTTCACATAGCATATATCCTGCTCAAAGCAGCTACCAGTTATACCTGCGCAGCCTGAAACATTCTTGTTCGCAGATCCTGCAATTCCATGATCCCCACGTTTCCATGTGGTATCGCCAGAAGCATCTACAGGAATCCTCGAATGCGTATCCAGTTATCCCTGTGCACGGCACCTATCAAGTCTCTCCTTCTCTTCACGAGATAATTGCTTGGCGTTGTTTGTCCTGTGATGAGGTTCACGACTGGTGAAAGAGCCTGTCGATGGGTCCATACGGGTGACAGCACCCTCCTCTAGCATGATATCTCGAGCTGCCAATATCTGTGACGTTCACATTCGCTCCACCTTTAGGAGAGCCTCGTACGACCACTTTGAAGTATGCACCCGAGTGTGGACGATGTACAGATGTAATATACGCTCTAGAATCGCACAATAACGAACAATCGATGTTACCTTGGGTATGCATTCCTGCAACTGTGGATTTTCTTATCAAATTGGTGGTACGCCCCATATTTTTACTACGATAGTTTCTACATTTGAGCAGCTTCGGTTCTGTACTCGACGGGCTGGAGATCATTCTATTCGAGCATGCGCCTATCCTACGCGGTGAGCAGGCAAACTCAGCTTACGGAATTTACAATCGCAAGAAACTATGCGAGAATCTGACCTGTTGGAATTGATGCGCAGCATCTAAAGTAAAGTTCTTATCGGGATGTAGCTTTAGGGCCAATCTTCGATATGCTGACCGCACCAACTGGGGAGGAGCATCAATCGGGATACCAAGCTTCT